ACAACGGCTCAAAAATAAAAAAACATTAAATAGAAAAATTACTAAACTAAAAATAAAAAAATATATAAGAATAAAAAATACAAGAAAATTAAAAGTAGAAAAATTACTAAATAAAAAAAAAATTAAATGAAGTCAAAAACGTTATTAAATATTAAAATAAAAACGTTTTATAAATGAAAAACTATTTTAAAAATATAAACATTTTTCCTATTGTCTTTTGATTTGGATATTTTGTTCGAAGTATAATAATAACCTAATTAATAAAATTCATCAAAAAGGACATCGCATTGTCTTTAAAAGTTTTGATTTCCCATTAAAAGAAATTCTAAATATAGAAAATATGTCAAGTATTCACCTTAGATATTTAAAGTTTTTGTTAACTGAAGTTTTTAAATCTATAAATGGTTTAAATCCAGATTTTACGTTAGATCTTTTTATCAAAAAATCCCTGCCGTTAAGTCTTCGAAGTAGTAAAAAATTAGTACTCCCACCCATAGTCTCTAAACATAAGTTCATAAAAAGTAGCTTATATAGAGCAACCTCGCTATGGAACTCCCTAGACAATGAAACTATGTCAATAAACTAAAGATGTTCAAAAAAAATATTTTTAAATGGATCGGAAAGTCTTGTTTTTGTAAAATCTGTAAAAAATATCTTTTTTTATTTTTTATTTTTTACGTCGAAAATAACCAACTTGTTGTATTTATTGACATTTAAATTATTTACTATGTAAGCTATTTTTATTTTATTTTATTTTTTTAATTTTTTATTTACGATATGTATGTTTGTTTGTATTTTCTTATACAGTTTAGTGTGTTGATTTTAATTAGTTTTTGTTGATTATAAAACTATTGTAAACAATCAACTGAAAATAAAGTTTCAAATAAATAAAAACAAATATCTTAGTTAATGTTAAATAATTGCGGACAAAGCAAGTTTAAAATTACGTGACAAAGCTGGATTTAATATTAAAAACGCATGTTATAACATAACAACAGAAATATATATACAAACGGAGAGAGTGTAAAACTTGTTGTACATATTTTATCTTTTTTTTATGCAGAAATAGTTTATAAAAATTGCAAAGTAAGCATAAGACGCATTCTAGACGTTTGTAGACGTCTAAAACTAGACTAGATAAAGATGCGTTTTTAAAAACTAGATAAAGCTTTATCTAGTTTTTAAAAACGCGTCTTTATCTAGTCTAGTTTTAGACGTCTACAAACGTCTAGAATGCGTCTTATGCTTACTTTGCAATTTTTAATAAAAGATTTTTAAAAATGCGTCTTTAAAGACGCATTTTTAAAAATCTTTTATGTCTTTAAAAACGCGCTTTTTGAAAAGAATTGTTTTAGACGTCTTTTATAAATGCGCTTTTAAAATGACGTTTGAAAGACGTCTTCATTAAAATTTGAAAAGACGTCTAAGAGACGCATTCAAAGACGCCTAGATCATAAGGCTAAAAGAGGTTTTAACTCAGAGATTTATATAAAGATGTCTTTAAGACATCTTCTTGTCGGTTTGCAAAGATGTTTTATAGTAAGCGCGCTAACTATAAAGTTTTTTATATGTAATACTTAATGTAATACTTAACACGTCTATTATTTTATATGTAAAAAATTTTTTTTATACATTGAAATATAATGAAATCTTTATAGCCGTGTAGCGCAGGGGTAGCACTCTTGCTTCAGACACGTGTACCGCAGTTGCTTTAATTTCAGAACATAAGTTTTTTAATAGCGGTTTGGAAGGAGGCGTAAACTTCTTTTTAAATGTTCCTCTGCTATGCTCTGTGACAAACCGTAAAGAATTCTTAGGGCACCTCAAATAAAATTATTAAAAAAAGATACATATTATAAATCATTATTTTGAGTTAATAAAAACCAACAAGCTAAATTGTATCTAAAATATAGTATATAAATTTTAATGCAGTCTTGATATTTATAAATAAAATGTTCTCTCTGTTATTTTACTTAATTTTAGTAATTGCATTTTGTCTGTTATATTTGTCTATATATATTTTTTGTTGTATAAGAGCCTCATAATTTTTGGTAAATTATGTATTTTGGCAGTAATGTTGCATATTATTCTGTTTTATGTATATAACTCCGCTTCTAGCATATACTTGTCTGAAGTCCGATATCCGACCATCAAGGATAATAAATAGAAAATGTAGCGTCATGTGTATTTAGGCATCTTTAAAAATACGTCCATAAGATGTCATAAACACTTTTTTTTAAAGACATCTTTAAAATAATATGTATAATAAAACGTTTAACAAACAGTCGATGTTGGACCAACCAAACGCGCAACGTTGTTACAATGTTTTATCAACGTATTTATAAAACACATTTGAATTTAACAACTATTTTAAACATCTAAAGAATTTTTTTGTATTAATTATGTGTTTGGTTTCATTTAAAACAAATTTAAAATTTAATTTAAATCATATCTATACATGTTTCATAGGACATTTGAATTAAATGATCCAAGTACTTTT